AAAAAAACTAGAAGAATAATTTATAATTTACGCTCTAAACACATAAAAGAAAAGAGGTACTTCTAGACACAAGATTGAGTCCTACTGATTAGAGTTTCTGGGTTATTACGATGTATCTGAATGCCCATTAAACCTCCCACCGATGACTGAACCAAGAAACATTAGACAAATTCATTCACCCAATCTGACAACTTCAATAGCTTTGAGTCATCCAAAATCCATCCGCTTATGCTTGGTCATGGGCTTGAAAAAGTAAAAACTTCTTTAATTGGCTCTACTATCCAATCCAAGTATTGATTGGGCTTTTTACGGAGCCTACTTTCTAGGGTTTGTTTCGACTCTCAAGATGATGTCTTTTGCTTTTTTCTTTTTTCTTGATTTAGCCTGGAAACTTGGAAAGGCCTAACTGCATTTGCTATATATGCTGAAATGCAGCCAACTTCTCAACATTTTGCGACTAATTAAAATAACATAATTAAGCTAAAACCTATAAAATTCTTAGATGCTTAATCCTTAAAAAAAAAAAAAAACAATTAAGTTAACAAAAAACAGCAATCAAAATGGATTGAGGAGTAAAAAAATGTTATAAAACTTTGATCAAAGAAAAGGGGAGGGGGAGGGGAATGCAACAAAATGAGTTCTAAAGAATGGTGACAGGACGAGGAGCAGCACTTAACACTTTATGCTAAGTGGACAAGAATGAAATTAATTTTAAGACATGTAATTAATTATGGTTTTGTTGTTATTGTTATTGTTGTAATTATTATTATTATTATTATTATTATTATTATTTATCATTCAGTTTAACACTCATCTAAACAATCACACACGCAATTTAACCCCTGAATTTCTCTATTTTATTAATAGTAGCAGTAGTGAGGTATTCTTTGCAAATCTCTTTATTAATAGTACTCTAAACATGGATTAATATCATGTCTTTTTTTTTTTTTTGCCTTTTTGATCAAGTCAATCTAAACATTGTCATGGATCATATTTATTCACAACTCAATTATCAGATTTCAGACATTATTATCACAGTAATATTACTACCGTACTTGAGATCTACACCTAGAATCAATATCTATAGTTAATTAATTGTAGATAAATAATAATAATAATAATAAATAAAGTGACATTATTATTCGATTTATTTCGTTTCAAATGATCCATTTTCATAAAACATATCAAAAAAGTCAATTAAAAAAACGATGTTTCGACTGCTTATTATAACATTCCTATGGCGTATTCCGTAAGCTCAACGCAAAGAGATAAGTAAATTATTGGTATTTGGTATCGTCTTTTCAAGTTGATTTTGATATATATATATATATGCACACACGCAACGAGATATGGTCATTCTGTTACTGGTTCTCTTTCCATCTTTATTGAATGTGAACACTTAGATACAGGTCGCTTGGTACGCTTGTCAAACGACAACTAGATGTAGAAAGTATTTGACAAAATATGTAACATCAATATTATTTATCAAATTAATATTCTTTTCTGGTTCAGTCAGTCTAGAAATTCTTCCATTTCTTTCATCTTTTTCACTTTTAGCACGAGCACCATTCAATTTAAAAGCTTGAAAAAAAAATTAAAAAAAGTTTTGTTTGTTGTTTTGCTTCATTTTTCAATTTTAATTCTGCTATGGTACTTTTTTGGATTTATTTTGGTTCAAGGGAATGTCTTGGAACAAATTCCAAGTTTAATTGTTGTGTTGACCTTTTAGATTTATAAGAAAAATCAACGAGAGTTTTGGACAATAAGCATCAGAGGACTAAAATTATTATTATGAAAATTTTACCGAATATTTAACTCTCTTTACTTTGTGCACTTGCAGAATCAGTTATTCAGGGAGCAGATTGAGAAGTTAAAGAGCGAGGTAATTTTTCAGGATGCATGCATATTGTCTTCTACGTGCCTGTTTAAGACTTCTTAGATGTTAGAATATTTTTTTTCGCATTAATTCCTGATTTGTTACCATCATTCTCTTTTGACGTGTCTCAGGAGAAAATCCTAATGGAAGAAAACACCAAGTTGCGGGAGAAGGTATTACCGTCCTTGTTCCATGAACTTTTTTCGAATCCCATATTATCATCTCTAGCTGTGATTTCTTTTGAGGAATGCATAATAATTTTTGAGGCATAGCACACAAGAAAGAATTTATGTTTGTCACTCATAAAAAGCATGGCCGGCAGCATATATATATATATATGTTGAGGGTCAAGATGATAACATATCAATTAAAAAATATTTCACGGGCAGAAGGAGCTTATAAGTTGCAGATTAGGGATAAAGAATTGTTTTATTTATTACATATAAAATTTGTATGAAAGATCTATCAAGCTTTAATTAGGAACGGTTTTGATTTTTCGGTGCTGGTGGCCCTGCTTGAGAGATCGGTCCCTGATCAGACAATAATCCAAGCACGTATTTATTGTTGTTATTATTATTATTTTCGTGGATAATAATTTTGTTTGACGACTGGTTTTTGCAGTGTGGCATGCAGCCACTGGACCTCTCATCAACCAAAAAGCAACTACTATTACAAGACCGACAGATTATGGAGGTGGAGACAGAATTGTTCATAGGCCCACCAGAGACACGGCATGCTCCCAAAACCATAAGATCGGGTTGATTAATTTGATTTGAATAATTGCAGTTTCACATTTGCATCTGATAGCTATTGTTGTGAGTCAAATAAATTTTATCAAATGTATAACATAACAAAAAGGAGTTAAAATATGTGCCGGAAAGATTAATTGTAATGTTATATATATATATATATGTATATGTTGATTCTCATCTAATTTGCTTTTGTACTTGTTTTCTACTTTTCTCCTCCTTGGGGGAAAGGAGTTCTACGAGAGATTAGTGCCGGGACCCGGATCACCCAAGTCTATCCCTAGGATTTACTAAGTTGGCCAGCATTCGCTGGCTATTTATTTTGTACAATAAACTTTGTTTCTGTTGTTACCCGATATAGATGAGACTTTTGAAAAAATTTAAAATGCAAAAAATTCAAGTTTTGTACCGTATTTATTGAGTTATTTTAAGAATATGTGTTATTATTGAGTTTAGAGTTATTATTTAGTATTGAAGGAATTAAAAATTTAAAAATAACATTGATATAAAGATTTTAAGGTAAGGAATTGGTTATGTTTTTAAAAAAGTATCAATTACTCAAAAGTGTATTTTCTTAAAAAAAAATTTAGTTTAAAATTTTATTTTTTAAGATGTTTTATTCATGTTAAATTATTTTCGATTTTAATTTTAATTTTTCAAGTCAAATTAAATTTTTTATTTTTTAGTGTGGTATTGTATTGCAACAATCGTCGAATCTCTTCGTTAAAAGATAAGTCGATTCAAATATTGGATTCACTTTAAGCTTGATATAGTCGGTGTATCAAAGAATATTTTGATTATTACATAATGATTTTTTTTTTCTAATAACAGCCATTATTAGATAAGAGATTTTGTTAAAAATTTTGATTAATTTTTTTTTTTTTTTAACAACGAGTCTCTATTAGATATGAAAATTTGTTAATAATTTTACCTTTTTTGTTCTCTCTTTTTTTGTTAGCGACATTTCTTATTGAATAAAAGACTTCACTAAGAATTTTATTATATTTTTTGTCGGTGGATAATCGTCATCAATCCATAAGAGTTAAGAAACTTGACAATTTATCTACCTATTAACTACTAATCCAATTATTGAAACAAATTTCTAAAATCGAAATTACTTCTTTTTTTTTTAATCATTTTTTGGTTGTTTTTCTTTGTCGAAGGAGAATCGTCTTTAGTCCCTAAAAATTAGAAGACTTGACAATTCGTTTATATATTAATTACCTAAACTAATTACCGAAATAAAATTAAAAATTACATTAATTAAATAAATTAAAGAAAATTAAAATATTAAATTTAAATTAAACATAAATAAAATTTGAAATTAATCCGCATAAAATAAAACTAGGGCCTCGAGTTTCTTCTTTTTTATTATTTGTCAGTGGGCCCTCGGCTTGTTGGGTCTAGGTTGCTCGGTCGGCTTCGTTGGACATGCCGGACTTCCTCCTCTTTCTTTTTTTGGGCTTGGCCTAGGCCGAGCCCAACCCAAGCCTCGGCCATGGAAGCCGGGCTTAGCCGAGCCCACTTGACTTTCCAAGCCTAGCCCTTTTCCATTATTTTTTAAGCAAAAGCCCGACCTCCTAGTAACATTTTATTAAGCCTAACCCGGATCAAATAAAGATTAAAAAAATATATACCTTCCATCTTCTCCCCGATCTCTAATTTTTCCATTTTTTGGAACCTCCATCCAAATCATGTAACTACCTCTCCTTCTTCTTTGCCTCAACGTGACTCGAAGGCTCTTCTTTGATTTTTTACTTGTAAATAACGACTTCCTTTATGGTGGGTTTCGATGATGTGGCTCATAATTCAAATCAATGAAAAACTAATAGAGAATTACATGAGTAACATATGGAACTCGTATTTTTATTGAAATCACATGAAACACTAATAATGAAATCAATGTAACAAGATATACAATGTAAAGGAAAGAATTGTAGAAAGAATAAGAACAAGAAATGCGAGAGAAAGAAGAACATACGCGAGAGAGAGATCTTCCGAGTAATTGCTTAACCGATTTCTCATACTCTCTTCACTCTTTTTATTACTAACCACTCGATTAACAACCCATCAACTAATTACTAACAACCCATTAACTACTTATTAACGACTTAATAACTCCACGTGCTAACTCACTACCACTTGTTGGCTTAGTAAGTTAATAATATCCAGACTTCGGCTCCAACTCATCATTTTCATCAATTGATTGCATCGATATCCCCCTCCTTAAGAAACCTTGTCCTCAAGATTGAACCATGGAAAAATTTCTCAACTTTTCGGACTTCACAATACCATTCGATCACGTTTCAACACCTTGATCCATAGCTTCCCGAACTTCCTTGCAGTACTTGAGCTTTAGCTTACAAACCGCATTATTAAGCTTGCAGAAACTTCAGCTCCTTTGATTGCTTCTTCTCTTTGTCGATGAAAGATAAGTCATACTCAATAAAGTTTGTTGCCTTCTTATATCTTCTCAAGGCTCTTTCATATTTGCCAGCCTTGAACAATGCATTCCCTCCCTCCTTCTTCTTCGCAATAGCTTCAATCCTCTCTTGATTCTTTTTTCTTGGTCAAATATTTCATCTCCACTTCATAGTAAATTATTGCCATGGCAAGAACAATAGCCAAGTCTTGTTGAGATTCAAATGTGCCAAAAATATATTCCGGATGAACTGTCACTAGTGTAGCTTCCTTTTTGTTCATAGTCTTGATGCTCTCGTCCCATCTCTTCATTACTTGCTCTTGGAAAAGCTTGAACTTAAATAGAGATTTTTTTTCATAACTTGAATGAAACTCGGATTCCATCAAGTATAATTTAAGTATAGTGTATTCTCTTATCCATTTTTATATCTAAAATGGTTGCTGGAATTACTAGAGTATCTAGTGACATTGATACTATGAAATTATATTGATACTTTTCTTAAGCCCCAACCTTTAAGATTAAAACTAACATAAAAGGCACAATATATTTCCAGATTTGTCTTCCCACCATCTTACGGGTTTGACATAATAGATGTCTTCCGATAGTCTCCTACCCTCATCTCAAAAAATTTGCTTTCCCTTGCAACGATATGAATTCCATCCAATTAAAGGGATTTTCAACGCCGCCTTTCGTCGATAACCTAAGGTAACCACAAGATGGTCGGCAACGAACTTTATGTATTCGCTCGCGAGTGTTGCATTCATGCCAATCAGACACGTGGAAGGGCCTCCTCGGTTGATTCTTGATTAATGGAAGTAGTTGAAGACTCGAGAACCTTGTATTCAAGAGTGTCCTCATTCTCCAAGATTAAAGGTTGCTTCGAGAGTTCAAGATTTTGTTGAAGTCTTTGTTGAATGCTATGAATTGACTCCTCTATTATTGTCTTCTTAAGGAAATTCGATTATTTGGCCTCTGCTATCAATGACTCCTTATTTTCTTTTGTTTCTTCATTTTTTAAATAGAAAATAATTGCTCCATAACATCATCGATTACAATGATTTAGCTCCAAAATGGCTTCTCGTAATCGACTTCTTTAGATATTCACTATTACACAAAAAACAAAGATTATAAACATAGTTTCTCTCGTTCAACTCAAAAATGGTGAAACACTTAACTAGGTTTTCTACCATTGATACCAATTTATGTAATTGCTATAATTAATACCATAATTCAACACTCCACAAGTGCTAAGGATTGCTTTGATACCACTTGATGTGACTCATAATTCAAATCAATGAAAAACTAATAGAGAATTGCATGAGCAACATATGGAACTCGTATTTTTATTGAAATTGAATGAAACACTAATGAATAAAATCAACGTAACAAGGTATACAATGTAAAGGAAGAGTTATAAAAAGATAAGAATAAGAAATACAAAGAAGGAAGAACATAGCCGAGAGAGAGATACCCCAATAATTGCTTAATTGATTTCTCATACTCTTTTCACTCTCTTTATTACTAACCACCCGACTAACAACCCATTAACTAATTACTAACAACCCATTAATCGCTTATTAACAACCTAACAACTTTACATGCCACTTCATTGCTCGAGCTAATAATATCCAAATCATCATCTTCATCAACCGATTGCATCATTCGATTGGATGGATTTATGGAATTGCTTGATGAAGAAGGGATTACAGGTAGAAAGGGTCGTTACGGTTTTATCGATGGGGATCGCTATTGGTGTCAATTGAGAGGGCAAGATTGATATAGTGTTATTTGTGGGTTAAGATTTGATTCTGCTATAAAGGGAGGCTTTGGCGACTAGAGGCTTATGTTTCATATTGTCGATAAAGGAGACCGCCCCAATCATTTACGGTGATTGTGGGTTGTAGTAACTAGTTGTGTTGTTTGAGAGGTATGGAGATGGGTGATTTTCGAGTGGATAATAAAGATGGTAGGATGTTTTTTTTGGGCTCATATGAGGATGGAAGCAGTTGGGGTTGAAGATAAAATGGGCTAGGTTGTGGTTGAGGTCTTAAGAAGAATGCACAATAAGTGTTTTTGCATTTGTCTATGAAAGGGGGTCAGTAGAGAAGGTGATGCAGCAGCAGCTATTGGTGGATGTTGATGGTTGCGATAAATAGAGGAGTTAGGTATAGTTGGATGTGGATTCAAGGTTTCGTAGTGGTTTCGCAGAGGCCTGTGAGATATGAAGAGTTGATCGAAACGAGGGACAAGGTTTGGTAAAGGAAGAAAGATTTAGTTTTAGGTGCGGTTCCATGTGGAAGGATGAAAGGCAGTGGGTGCCGGTGTTTGTGTTTTTTTGTGTGAGAGAGTAAGGTTATCGGGTTATTACAAATGAGTGTGTGTGGAGTGAGGGTGGAGATGAGGTTATTACAAGTGGAGGCGAGAGAATGTGACATAGTAGTAGCTAGTGGTGTGTGGAGGTTTAATTGGGTTTTGGGTCGTGAAGGAGAATAGGAGGTAGTGATGATAGTGGTTACGGGTTTTATGGCTTGGAAGAGCTATGGTAGCTTCTTTTTGGTAGCCACCTCTTGGTATAATGATTGATGGTTGAGATGTGGCTTAGTCAATGATGGTGAGGTGCAACCAATGATGGTGAGGATAGTGGAAGAGCAAAAGAGGCAATATTAAAAAGGTTTGGTTTGAGTTTGGTGGTAGGTCGTTGTTTTGACAGAGGTTGATGAAAAATATGAAAGAGAGGGTTTTGTATGGTTTTTGGTAGAATGTGGTGGCTAGCAATTTGATGGAGAGAAAGAGAATGGTCGGAGTTTGGTAGTAAATGAAAGTGGTCATGGCAGTCACCTTTCCTTTCAGTATAGGTGGTCGCCAAGCTTTTATTTTTATTTTTTGTTTTGAAAGATTTTATTTTATTTGTTTTGAAAGATGCAGAGTGGTTAAGTTTTTTTCATTGTAAAAACTACATCTTTAGGGTTTTTTTTTTTTTTTTTTTTTGGTGTGGGTTAGGAAAATTGTAGAGGCTCCTCTTAAATGAAAGGAAAAGTTTGTTTGTATAGTGAAATTTTTAAGGCTATATATATTTTCAGAGTAAATTTTAAAATAAAATGAGATAAAATAAAATAAACTTACAAAAATTTTAGGTAATAACAGTTAATTTTACATAAATAAACCAAAAGTCACGTGCTTAGAAGCAATGGATCTGCTTAGAAGCAATGGATCTACCAATGCAATGGATGTACTCAATGCAATGCATGTACTTTTTGTCCCATCAATCCAAAAAGAATATTACCGGGAGAAATGAAATACCTGACAATTTTGAATGAAGGAGATGTCACATAAAGGAGATTTTCTTCAAAATCTCAACGAGCCGTGCAATTCGACCCCCAAAAAAATACAAATATGTGTGTGTGTGTGTGTGTGTGGTGCGGGTGTTTGTGTGGGTGGTGGGTGGGTGGGTGGGGGTGCTCGCGCGCGCTTCAGTGAGCATGAAAAACTTTGGAGGAAAAGGTTTATGGGGGAAGAATTGACTAGACGTGACACCTAACTATATGTCCTTGAAGGTTTGCAATGATATGGCCACGGGTTCAATAGGAGCAAGATTTCAGGACGCCGTCGTGGACTCTAAACAATTTCCAACTCTCTCTAAAGGGTTTCTTTTCCGGCAATAAAACAAAAATATTAGCCTTCACATGTTTAGGTATATGAACGGGAGTAGTATAACCCAACACGTACCATTGAATGTTTTGTTGGACCAATTTTATCTATTTTTCCACGTGGAGTAACTTTGCAAGCAAACTCATTGCATTCATTTGATAGTCCATCATCTCATCACAAGGTAATTAAGTCAGCTTGAACTTCAGCATGCCAAACATTTTATGTTTCAAGTTCCCTTTTTTTAAAAAAAAAATAGTTCTGAATTTGAACTTATTGGAAATTGAGTTTTTAAATTTTTATTTTATAAAGATTTAATTCTTTTAAAGATTTTCAACTATCATTCTTTTCTTTAAAAAATTCAATTCTTGATATTTTTATTTAAAATTTTACGTAAATATTAAAAAAAAAATTAATAAATTTTTTTTAAAAAATAACCGACCGTGATTCCAAATTTTTTGAAAAGTCTCATATAAATTTCATTAAAAGATTTCCAGACGATCTATTTATATGGTTGATATTTTTTAAGATAAATGATAAAAAAAAAAAACCTAAAGAATGAGTTAAATCTCAAAAAATTCAAAAATCTCAAAAATTAAGTTTGAAATTCAAAAACTCAATTTCAAACGAGTTAAAAGTTAGGAAAATGACCTATTTAACTTTATTTTTTCCGTTTTTGAATTATTAAAGAAATTAATTTGAGTTTTTGTTTTGTTGTTTATATTTTGTAATATTGTTGTGTCCCAAGTAAAAGCGAGGCAATCCATCTACACAAGGGTTTTCTACCTAACATATATGACTTTGCAATCATCATATGCATGATTTTGACGATTCTACCGTCTTTTTTTTATTTGACTCCCTGGATTGGGTTCCATGCCAAGTTCGGATATTTAACCTTACGTTAGTTTACGAATGGCAACAGACGAATATTTGATTTATTAATTTATTTTTTATCCTATTTATAAAAAAAAATATTATATTTATTACTCATTAAAAAAATCATCATTTAATTAGTCACTCGACTTACATAAATTTACCTATCTATTTAATATCAGTTAAAAATAATTTATCAAAAATATTTATTTTAATCCTTATAATTTTTTTAAAAAAGTTTTTTTTTCTTAAAATATATACATATATTTGTATTTTGGTAATTTTTTCATAAGTTTTTTTGGTCTTCAAAGTTTTTGAAAAAAATATCTTAGTCCTTGATTTTTAAATTTTATACAATTAAATATCTGTATATTAATAAAAAAAATCGAAGTAAATTAGTGGATATTAATATGATAAAGAGTGTATATCTATATCTTGAAACCGTATTAGTAAGTAAATATTTTTAATGATTATTTATTGAATCGGGTAAAAAAGAATATCCTTTTTGTATCCGATAATAAATATTTTTAATTGATATTTATTAAGTCGGATAAAATAAATATTTGTTTGTATTTGATGCATTGCCATCTTATGCCAGTTTCCTCCATATCAACATTTTCACACAGAAAACGTAAAGAGGATTGAAGAATAAAGAAGAAGAAGAAATTTTAATTCCAAATATAGTGGTCCCAATCTTAAAAACAATTATGAAGCGTAACCCACCACGTGTGGAATCAATAATTTGTGATTTCCAAATCAGTTTACTGGTAAGAGTGACAAAATCGCTTGTTAAATTTTGATTTTTTTTTTTTTTTTTTAATGAAAATGTCTCCATACGGATCAGGAAAATTAAAACTCGCTTTCGAAACTATTTGAGTACCTCCCAGGAAGGGGGAAAAAGAAGAAGAAGAAGAAGAAGAAGAAGCTGCTGCATTATTTGTCCATGCCGAACCTTATGGAAAATTTCCCCGAAGCAAACAAAAATGAATTGTGGTTGATAACCTAATCATATAATAAAAGTCAAATTTAAAAACATTTGATTACTTCCGCTCGTTTAATATTGAATTTATGACATGAAATAGTGGTGAGGATATAAAACTGTTTTAGAAACTCTTAATGGTCGTGGAAACACAATACAAAAATATTAGCATGAGAGTTATTTTGACTAGATATAAAAAAGAAAAAAAGAAAAAAGAAAAAAAAGAAGGTTTGACAAAAGAAGATTTGAAAGTTGTAAGGGTCCATGATGGAAAGGAACTGACCACAATCGTTTGGTTATTTAGTTATTGACTCCACTGATAAGTACTAATTAATTTATTGGAGGAAACCAAATCAACATACCTTAATATATATATCAATTGATTGTAATTTTAAGTTTGTTCTTATTTTCTAATATCTCTCTCTATCCATGATTTTCGTTAATTTTTTAAATTAACGATTATGTATGCGATATATATGTGATAGTTTTAATATAAATTGCCGATAATAAACGTTTAAATGAAAGAGAAAAAATTAATGTTGAAGGTGCATATGGACGGACATGCACTAGATGTGATAATTTATATATGTAACTAAAGTACTTACTAAAATGCAAATCTTTGCACCAACATGTATTTATTTTGTGTTTTTCTAAGTTAAAGAGTTTTTTTTGTCCATATTGAAATTATTCAATGTGAATCATAACCGTCAATATTATTTTTAACGAAAATAATTGATAGAGGAGTACGTTAAAGAATAGAAAGAAAACTAAAGTTTAAATTTGATTAATTTTAATGGCAATATGATTGAGAAATAAAATATTATATAAGGATATATAAATAAAATTTTCTAATTTATCATTATTGTTTGCGAAAATACACTATTCACCTTCTAATCATATTTTTCAATCGTCCATCCTGAAACTAATAGAGTCCTTGGGTGTAGGGATGGCAATAGGCCATCTCCGTCCCCGCCCCGTCCTTAAAAAAATTTCCCCATCCTCGCTTCAAACGAGGCGTAAACGGAGCAAAAATTATTATTTTTTATTTTTGTCTCATTTTATTCAATTTTATTATCAAATTTTAAATTATAGCAAAAAAATGATAATTTATATAGAAAATGAACCTTAAAAGTCACTAATTATAGATTTTATATAGGATATAATTATAATTTTAATGAAAAAAAAAGAAATGGAGCAAATAGGACAAACGAGGTGGGGTAAGCAAATCCTATCCCCGTCTCGTCCCTACCTCGTTCCTCAGTCAATGCAGGAAATTCCTGCATTGATCTCGAGGAAAATTGATTTGAGGCGGGGTGAGACAAATTGTCATCCCTACTTGGGTGGAGTTTATTTGACGGCTAAACCATATATTTCATTTGATTAAAAAAAAGAGGTTTGATCCATATCAGTCTCTCTCTTGCTTCTTCAAACTTCCAAGAAGTCCTATACTTTACGCATCCAAGCAAAGCAAAAACAATTAGATCCAAAGCAAAAGCAAAAAAAGTGGAAAGCGCTCAAGTTTCTGCTTCCGAACTGTTCTAAAATATTGCAGTTTAGTCCTCCCATTTTTTAGTGTCCACAAAATTACTAGGAGCTTGGAGGTAGCTTTGGTTCATCATAAAAACAAGACAGCCAGAGAGACACAGAGATGGCTACATTGACTGTTGGTTCTGCTCTCCCTCCAAAGCAATGCCTCTCTCTTTTTGAACAAAACAGCTTTTTATTTTCGTATAGAAGAAAGCCCATGATCAAGAAGAAGAGCCTATTAATTCGTCCTGTAAGTTTTTCTTCCTATGCATATTTTGTAAAAGAGAGATTCAATTCGAGATTTCTTTAAGAAAAATGAGGACACTAGTCCCAACTGAGCTACAGCTTATTGACTGCTGGAAAAATTAGTTGATCTTGAGTTATGGGGTTTGATTGATTCAGGTGGCAAGGCTACTAGGTCCAGCGATTTTTGAGGCATCAAAACCAAAGGTGTTGCTTTTAGAGGCTGAAGCGAAGCAGCCAGCTGCGGGGAGGCCACTACCAATTAGGACTTGTACTCTAACGAACAGTTTAGCCCCCTCTATGGTTTGCAAGACGAAAGCATTTCCTCCTGAAAACTTTTCTTGGGCTTCTTTGTATGCTATCATATTGCTGATGTTTATATTACTTCTTTCATTTCATTGAGTAAAATCGTTAACATCTTTGGTTTAACTTATGCTATGAGTGGTGAGGATTGTATGATAAAATGTTGGGAAAAGTACAATCTTATTTCTTGCCGATTTTGCATTTCAGTGATACGCTTGCACAAGTTCTTTTTTTTTTTTTTTAAATTAAAAAAAAAACGTAAGTGATTTGTATTTTTACTCAATTAATGTGGCAAATGTAATCAAATATACCATTATTGGAGGCTTAGCCTAGTTGCTAAGTTGGTTAATTTACTCCCCCTTAATTAGGAAAAAAATTGAAAAACTCCTATTTTGAGATCTTGATCTTGATTTTGTATCAAATGGGCAAATTAAATCTTGTGTAAATAATTTCATGAATTTAACCTTATATTTGTTAAATTTTAGACAATTCAATCTAAATATTCCCAGTTCTTTTTTTTTTTTTTTTTTTTTAAAGTAGTTACAAAACATAATAGATTTATTGAGTGAGGAGTCTAAATTAAATTTAGATTTCTTCACTTTTTATTTTCCTAAAATATGCAATATGCGCGTAAGGTTGTGAGAGAGTTATGTGCAGATTCCACATCAATTTTAATCATTGAAAAAAAATTGAAAATGATTTTTTTAATTAGAATATGATATTTTAGTAAAAATTGTGTCATGTGGATAATATGTCAGCAAGTTTTTTTATAAGTTTATTGAAAATTAATGATAGTTTGATCGAATTATGTAAATGTAACGTATATAGGATCGAATTTATAAAATTAATTACACAGCATTTTTGGCAATTTAATACAAATACAAGTTCTCAAATTGAAGTTTTTTCAAAAGACTTTAAGAAAGCTTTTTTTTTTTTCTCTCTCTCTCTCTATTAGTTATATTTATGCATCAATCACAATATGAATCACTTACTTAAAACAATGTACCAAAAGCATGGCTGGATCATTACTGTGAATGAAAAAAAAAGGGGGTCATTTAGCTAGGCTTTCAATTGTTCAATATATATATATATATATATGAAAAAAAAAAGAGAGGGTAAGCAAACAAGTAATTGGGTGAAAATACAGCTTTTCGGATCGAGTAACTAATTATTCAATTATTATTATTTGTTTTTGGCTTGACCTAAGTTAATATTTTCAATATTTGTTACCAAGAGGATGGTAATCCAAATTTACATTATTCATTGATTACCTTCTTTTTACCTAAATACTAAAACAATTAGTATTAATTAATCAAAATTAGGTCTACAAAAAGCTTTTGGCAACCTTTTATATATATATATATATATTACTCGATTCTATCCGAAATATTTCAAGTATTTAATTATCTTATATACTTTGAAATTTTTACTCGATTTAGGTCAGGTATTTCAGATTTTTTTTAAATACTACTCGCCCTATAGATTGACATTAAAAGCTGCCTTTAAAAATAAAATTAAAAAAACATTTCAAAAAAAATAAAATATAAAAACATTTCAACTCTTGTCATTTACGAGGGACTACCTAATTTAAGGGAGTTAACATGAAGGCTAAAAAGGCTTTTTTTTTTCCCCTTAACCATCAAAGCTCAAACATTAAATCAAGTTATGAGAATTAAAATTTTAAGAAATCTTCTAATTCCATTGTGGATAGTCTATTTTTTATTGCAATAGAGAAATTTATTTTCAAGTGGTCTAAAAATATCTCTTACTATAAGACAAAACAAAAATACCAGTAATTAGACTGAGAAATTCTTCTGTGAACTAAATTTAGCATGCTAATAATATATATATAGACACCACCAAAGTTTGTAGGTGGAGTAGCATAAAAAAACAAAAAAAAACAAAACAAAAAGTCTATAATTCATTAAGTCATATGTTTGATTCTCATTTTTTAAACAATCTTTCTTCTTGCCTACGATTATGTGTGATTTAATGCTGACTTACCTTAATAAGTGATTAATTTAATTTTAATTGATTTAAAAATTAATTAAAAATGCCTCACTAATTGTTTTTTTTTTTAAAAAAAAACATTGTTAAACCAACGCTGTAGCAATCAAGGTTTGAAATTTATTTATTAGAAATTCTTATGTATACATTTTAGGGATTTTGGAAAGAAACATTTGTTTGGTTAGGTTCTTATCCTACAAAGCTTATAACATTGCATAAAATCCCTAAGCGCCCATTAATTTAAAAATAGGATAAAAACCCGTAAAATTATGGCTCAAATTTTGTATGTGGGTCGCTAATCAAATCCATAAATCTTATTTCAACTGATAATCACCGTAAATTAAATCCGAATTTATCCAGGGCTTATCTAAACATTCCAAAAGATATATGCACAAGTTCCTCTTCATAAAAGTAAAATCATTGAACCCATCATGTGACAACAAAATAATATGAGTTAGTCAGTCGCAAAAGTCCAGCCTTTGTTGCAACTATTGCAGCTGTGCAGCAGTAATACTATTTGAACCAACCCGTAATCACAACGACCCTACCAACTGAGCTATATCCCCCCAGCCAAGTAGAGCATGTATGAAGGAGTCAGATGCTTCTTCTATTCTTTTCTTTGACGCAGTTCGGTCATCTTGGATTTTTTACAGTCACCTTAGGTATTTATGTTATTAAAGCTATATATTTTTTTATTTTATTTTTAATCACACCTCATAGGTATGTGATACTATATATGATGCTCACATTTTTAAGATATGAAGGAGCTTAGAAAAGAAAAGAAGATAGTTTCAAAGGAGTATGATCAACACGATATAATGGATCAAGAGTTGGATCATTAGTTGTAAACATTTATGAGTTCGCATTACCATGTAGGCTTATGCTAAGACTCAATTATTATTATTATTTTATTCCTAGTAGATAATAAGGATGTTATTTTCATTTCTTGTTTTGAACAAGGTTTTTCATTTTTAAGAAAAATGGTTATTCTTTTTAAAAATGAAGTTTTATATGAAAATAATTTGATTGATAATAATTTGAATATTTTGAATATAGTATAACTCCCATACATATATAACATAAATGTTAAAAGATTCGAATGATCTAAATAAAACTTATCGATGGCATTGTTGACTCGGCCATATAAATAAGAATTTTATAACCAAACTACTTATAAATGGATATCTAAAATCATTTGATCTCTATAAATCTTGTTCACTTAGAAAAATAACATGAATCCCCTTTTAGTGAAAAAAGAGAAAAAGCTGCTAATTAGTTTGGCATTATACATAGAGATGTATTTAGGCCCATGTTAACTCAAACAAGAGGAGGACATGATTATCACACAACCTTTACCGATAGTAGATCATGTTTTGGTTATAAGATACAAGTTCAATATATTTGAAAAGTTCAAAAAATTTAGACTTAAAGTCAAGTAACAAACTAGCAAAAGTATTAAGATATTTTGATTATATCGAGGTGATGAATGCTTAAGCGTTAAATTTTAGATCACCTAAAAGAGAATGAAATTCTTTATCAATGGACATCACATGTTAGACATGTTTTGGTTCATGATGAGTCGAATTAATATCCTTATTTATTTTGGGATAGAAGCTCCTTACTCGCAATCCTTCACCTTGAATAGGGTTCTAATTAAGTCTATTTGATTAGACTTCATATTAGATATGAAAAGAAAAGAAAGTGAATTTATCTTTTCTTAAGATTTAGGGCCATAAAACATATGTCAAATGATTTGATGAAAAACAAACTAAAACCCAAATCAACGAAGTGTAAATTCATGAGATATCCAAAAGAAAC